GTTTCTCATAGTTCCAAATCTCCATTTCTAAAAATTGAAAGACGAAGCCAAAAGAACCCTTCCCTTCTTGTGCATCTTCTTTGTACTTTTTAAGTTCCATTTTCAATTCATCCAGAAGTGGTGCCATTGTATAAATTTTTAAACAACCACCCAGTTGATTTTAGTCATTCAAATATAATAACCAAAAATCCAAAGATCATCAAATAATCCAAATACATGCAAGCTGTTTCTTTTTTGCTCTTTTTTTTCACTTTCTCTTCCTAGGGTTACTATTTAGTTACAAAGTTTCAGTTAAAATGTATCTTTTAGAAGTTTTGTTGAAGTTTTACTTTAGATTCTTTTTAATTCCAGGCAGTCTCCTCCCTCTTCCAGATCCTGCCCTTATTCTTTTTCTCTCCCTTCCTGCTTATGAAAAAGAAAGTTTTTAATGTCCAGAAATCTTTATTATCCCTTTGGCATTTTGTTTTATTTTCAGCTTAATTGCCTATTGATGTCAAAGCGGATTTTTCCGGTTTCTTATTTAAGTCTCTTAGTTGTCAGTATAGGGAAGGAGAGAGAGGGGGAAAAAAAGCCAAACCTTTCCCTTTTCACTTTCCTTCGCTGCTTCCGACTCTTCTTTGGGAGCGATGTTATTTTTTGTAAGTTTACATTCCAGGGTACCTTGATTGTTGCTTTTACAATTTAACCCGGTCAGCCAAAACTTTCACTTCTTATCTTCCTCCTGCACATTCTTTTCTGGTCAAATTCTTCTTTGTGGTGGCCATTTCTGACCACCGCTGCAACCGCCTTCGGGAAAGGGAGTAATGGCCAGCTGAGGAGATGCGGCTCTCCTCAACCCTGCTGGCGGTCTCCCCCCTCTTCACCACCTCTACGGGGTGGCTTAGCCCCGAAACCAGCCGGCTCGGGGCGCTCCAGCGGCAAGCCCAGACAGAAACCATGCACGATCGCGGATTTCTGTCTGTTGCCGAAGCCCTTCAAACCGGAAGTTGAAATCTTGCATATTTTTAATATCTTTATTTTGAAATTTTGATGCCAAAATTCTTAGTTTGCAAATATTCACAGCATCTACTACCCCCCATAAAGTCCTGAAATCCCTCTCCAAAGAGATCATAATTCTCAATATGCCATATGAAGGATAATGTGGCTCTTCTGCTGATGAAAGTTACTCACTCCCTACTCTATACTAGTCCTCTGTTTCTAAGTCTATATGATTTACCACAGATGTCTAAGCCTATTTAGTATACTTCTGACCAGTTCATACCACTGAAACTAGTAAATGTTATGGTCCTTTTCAGAAATTGAGTATCATATTTTTTTCATGATAATGTTGGATCTAAAACAATTGCCATGTGTACATGATATGAAATATTGATGTGTTATCAGTGGAAGAAGGATTGCTGTGGATAAGTGATTTTGATTTATCCATTGATAATATAATAAGCTTGGCCTGAATATTTTACTACTAAAGTTGTTAGAAGTCTCGTCAATAAAGAAGTGTTTTCAACACTTCCCAACTACACTATTCATAGCATTGAAAGTCTAGATTATGAAGAATCTTCTTTGCCATTGGTATAGATGCTGGCAAATACATGGTAGTCATATTACTATGATTAATTATTTCTAGGCTTGTGACAGAAAAAAAGTTATATGTATATGCATTATGTGACAGTCATTGATTTTGAGGACTTAAGTAATTTCAATCCCTCACCGCCATTCAGCATATTCTGTAGATTGTAGGACTGTATGTGCCAGCATTATGTTTGTTACTGCTTCCACTTTGCTCAAAAATATCTTTAGTAAATATGAAAAATTAGATAAGTTATACTTAACCACTTCATTGCTTATCAATGCATTGTTAGCTCATCGGTTTTCATAGAATTGTGATTTTATCTTACAAAGATAATTTATACAGTGGAACATATTTGTTATGTATACTTCAGCTTTGATTGAATGAGATTGCTGAACTACTTTTAGTGTATAGCAAGCATATGATATATTTTATATTTTGAATGCCTAAATAATGTATTTTTCCCTGCCCTAGTTAAATTAATGTAGTTGTTCACTTCCATGATCCTTAATTTTGTTGAATATGTGGCTTTTTCTAATCATTCATTGTAGCTGTTGTCTTGAAACCAAGTAGGCTGAATATTTTTTCCCCTTTATTTAGCATCAAAATGGAACTGTCAGCCAAAAACTTAGAATGCAGTTGGCCACAGCTGCTTCAGAATCACTCAACAACTGACTGACATTTCACTAAGATTGAAAAGAATCTTTTACATGTATCAATTAGACCTGCCAAAACTTGGCTTTGAAAGGCACTCCAGCATCTCTAATAGCTGTATGGAATGAATAGGTTTTGACAGCTGTGGCTTGCCCCATCATTGCAGCAATGTGACAAGAAAAACTGCACCTTTTGAACATTTGTCTGCCACAAAAGTTATGAAAGATATAGACCACCTTAGACTCAAGTGTAAAACTGCCTACATAGTTTTTGTCTGTGGTCCATTATTTCTATCTTGGAAGACTCAAGTGTTCAAATAAAAATCTTGGATCACTAATGTAACATTACCTTTAAAATCACAACAATAAGACAACATGTATCTGGCAGAAATAGACACTAGTCCTGTGTAATCTTTCCCATGTTAAAGGATCACTGATCTGGAGGACTGTTGGAACTATTCCATATACAGGATCTTTATAGAAGAAATAGGCATCAATATTGATCCACTGCCAAGACTATTGGATGCTTTTCAGCATGATTATATCTTGATTGTATAAGGCCTGCTTGCCTTTTCTTCTCTAATAACCACTCTAGCTCTCACTTGGAGTTTTCAACAGCACTCTTATCTGGCCAAATAGTAACATAAAAAACAGAGACCTCATTTTTGTAGAAAAATAGTGTATTTTGCATTATGTCAAGGTAATTATTAGGAATTTACATGCTTTGAAAATGATGTGAAAGAAATGTTTCACACAAAAATGCAGTCATAATATATATCTATAGTTAAAATAGCCTGACTTTACATGGAATCTCCCCAAATAAAATCCCAAATGATTTTTAAGTTACTTATCTTTTTTGGGAGTGGGGGTGGGGGTGGGGGGAATGGGCTTCTTTAAATTAATTGTAGAGGTGAAATTTGCACAATTACATTTTGTTAAACTATATGATAAAAATATTGTTCACTGATTTATTTTACAGTAGCCCTAGGCTTAGTTCCCTGCTGACCTATTTCAAAGCAAACCCTGCTGAATTGGCAGGAGGGAAGTTTGATTAGCAATTAAAAATAAATATATAAAATCAGAGAAGTATAGGCCTGCGCTGTTGTTGCTTTTCTTCACTGGGAATTTACAGTTGCCATAAAGGGAGTTCTAGTTGTCTCTCCCCCTCTCCCCATTAAATAAAGTAATGAGTAAAATGATTTTACTTTCACCTCCTTTGTATCGCTGGTGCTATTATTGCTTAAAAGGAGTGGGGAGAATATGATCTTGAAATACTAGGATACTGTACTATAAAATGGTAGTTTGTATTGCCAAGATTTTGCTAAACAAAACTACACTGAGAAAGCAGACTTGTTAAGTACGAATAAGCACATAGCAAAAATATTAGTCTGTTTTTCAGTCAGAAGGCAAAATTAGTATTCTATATATAGAAACATAAGATGTGGTTTCCTGTTGTGCAACTGATCATTTTATATATATTTTCATATAATGATGAAAGTTAATTCTCTACTGACTGATAATTAACATCTAATCTAAATCAGATAAAGTTTTAAGTAGATTCTTTTTAAAAGCTGTTGTGAGCTTTAGTCTTTTAAATTATCCTGAAGCCCTAAAGCTTTCTATACTGATTTTAATCACATGCACTAACACCCACTGGTGTTGATAAGGGCAAAGCTGATTAATTGTATGTTACCTGAATAATAACACATTCTTCATATGCATCATATGCTTTTGTTGAAGTATTTCTAAGCCAAATTCCAAGAAAAGGTTGAGAATGTTTTACATTTAAAATTTTGGTCATCCTTAAACTGTGTATATTTGTTTTCCACTTCACATTTTTGTTAGTCTAAAACAAATGAGGACCAATTTGATATCTATAAGGGAAAAAAATCCTTTTGCACATAAGGCAGAAACATACCTGGTCTATAATATCTGCCATGTGTTTCTGTTATATAAGCAAGGTGAAAAAATCTTAAATATAGGATATGATATTTTAAAAACCAATGCTAGTTATCCTGCCTGGCATATTTTTTATTGTTGTTGAGAGACTTAACGTTTTTATACCATTGTTGTGATTACAAGATTCTCTGATTACCTGTGATTCACTTTGAAACATAGTTATATCACATAGTGTGAAATTGGAAAATCTGTTCTATATGTGTTCTAATGGATGTAACGGTCATTAAGTATATGAGTCTTCTGACATTGTAATCAGATGTGATTCAGTCTGTTAAATATCCATGAAGCAACATCTGCTTCACAGAGTGACCTTCTGCTAGAGGATAGTTAGCATCTATTAGCAGATCATAGTGCAGATCTGCCTGATTTGAAAGGCACTAAACTAGGATAATCTGCTGTTTAGCAGCAAAATTGCAATAATTTATTGCAGTTAAATAAAGCTTGTTTTTTTCTTTTAAAAAGATTCTTCATTACATAATTATAGGGATATATACAGAAACATATTCTGTTGAAATTACCTGTTTACTTTCAAAATTGGCTTTAAAAAAATAAGATCACATTAGGGGATATGTCGTGATTTCCTGTATAGATATTGATAAGAGTCATTAACAATCAAAATAAATTAAAGCCAAAAGTAGTTGTACCATCTGCTGTATATTAATTAGATCTTTGCCTACTAAGGGTAAAGTTTTAAAGAATGTAATTGAAACCAACTAATAGAATATATGCTAATATTTTAGAAAATGGGCTATTAGTTTATGCTTTAGCTTTAGCAAAGATAAGGATGATCTATAACAAACTTTAATTTTCTTTCTTCTCAGAGCAACCTCCAAATAACCAAGGCCAGTCGACCCTGCAACCTTTGCCACCTTCTCACAAGCAGCATTCAGCACAGAATCACCCATCTATCACCTCCCTTAACAGAAATTCACTGACAAATAGGAGGAACCAGAGTCCGGCCCCGCCGGCTGCTTTGCCCGCCGAGCTGCAAACCACACCCGAGTCGGTCCAGCTGCAGGACAGCTGGGTCCTTGGCAGTAATGTGCCACTGGAAAGCAGGTAATCCTTTAGGACCTTTAAGACTATAGTTATGCTCAGCATACTAGAAATCTGGAATTTGTGCTTCCCTTGTTCTGTTAGCACAGCTGGAATTTTAATTTACCATAGCCACATATGGTGCTACTACCTTGTCCCAAGCTGACATTTGAATTTAATTCTTCCCATATATACAAGGTTAACCCTTCTCACTAGCCAGCATGTGGTATATTCAGTTTGGGGTTAGCTTACTGTATGAACCAACACTTAATGGTAGGGCTGTGAAGGAATACAGACCTGATTTTGGGCATGATAAAGGAAGGAGCAAGCTATTAAGGGGAATTGCATTCAAAAATATTATTCAATCCAGAGAAAAAGGAAAGCATAAGATAGGGCAGAAATAAAACCTGACTAATTTTCAAAATTCTGTTATTCTACCATACAACAATAAAGAGTGTTCCTGCAATTCCCACTGCCTGTTTCTTGATCTTACCTATCTCAAAAGTTTAGCACAGGCCACTCTCTCTAAGTATTGTTATTATCTTGATGCATGTAATTTCTACTTTTTTTTTATTTTGCTGGGTTTATATGCTGGTTTAATGGTCAGACAACTCTTTAATTTTCATCAATAATGTTTCATCTTTGGTAAATAAAAATTAGATTAGAAAGATGGTGGTGGTACTATTAGAGAAGTTTGCATGTATTTATTTTATTTATTTACGAAATTTGGACAATGCCAATCTCCCTTATAAGCAACTTTTAGCAACATAGATACATTCTGCTTTTTAAATTTTGCATACAGTTCTTATTATTTCTTGTCCTTTGATTTGTATTTGGTGGCATTCTTTTGGTCTGTTTTCCCTGATTGCCACTGCAACAACAAAAAGTTTGTGGCACGTTAAAGGCTAAAAGTTTATTGTCACGTAAGCTTTATCCCAATCCACTTATAAGATATATGGAATTTAGTTTTGATCAAGCAAATGTTATGTTAAAACAACTGTTGAGCATGGGAAAGGAAAATAAAAGAAAAAAAAAACTAAAAAGAGAAGTGAGAGAATTATTTTACATAATGGTCCTAAGCAAAGCATTGCATATGATCATATAAGTATTTTGGAACACTACAGTGGACTGGCTTATACAGAAAATCCATTGATTGCTTTATAAGAAGAAAGGTGAGGCGCAATCATATTAATAAAGTAAGTAGATGCTCCCATTCTTAACCCGGAATTTATCAAACAATCAAATGTTTACAATTAAACCATACAGAACAAACATACCTATTCTACAGTCCATTGAAGAGCTGCTAAAGGATTTTGCTAAAGAAGCTATGAACCTATCCAATTAAGTTTTTTTTAAAAAAGAAAAGATAAACCAATCCAGGAATAATTACTTATAAGAGAAACTGAAAAGAAAACAACAAAACACTATTTGTTGCCATAGAGCAGTCAAGTAAAATCACTGAATTCTATCAGCAATGTTCTATAGCCACAGAACACATAATTTATGTTTTCTAAAATACTGAAACCCCTAAACCTTTTGATTTTTTCCTTTATCGTCATTTTAATTCTCCCTCTTGCTATCACAACAGATTCGATTCTGCTTTAGTTAATGATGTTTTATTAATTAAATTTCTACAGCTGCCTGTTTACCAAAATGAACTTTAAACTAGTAAATATAATATTATGACAAAAGCTACAAAACTTTTTTTTTACTTCATTTGAGGATGTAGCTTAGCTCCTGAGCAGCTTCCTGCTATCGGTGTCCTTCAAAGACTTTTTCCATTGGAGCTGAATAAATTGTCTAAAGCAGGGGTCGCCAACCTTTTGGACCTCAGGGACCACCAAACTCATAATTTAGATCCCAGGGACCACTAACTGGTTTTGTGGGTGTGGCCTCATTTCTGGGTGTGGCTTGGTGGTCATGTGACTGGCTGGGTATGGCTTGTATGTAAATATTATAAATATTTATATAAATATTGATTTTTTTATAAAAAAAGAGCAACTTTTACCCCAAATCAGGCAAAGCAGGTGGGCAGATTGAGTTGCTCACAGAATCACAGATTCATTCAGAAATCTATCTATCTGCCATTGGCTAGCTCAGTCTGTCACATAAAATTTGCTTGCAAGCAAACTCACAAAATTAACTCAAAACACACCATATATGTAAATATTGAATTTTTTATTAAAAAAGCAACTTTTATCCAAAATCAGGCAAAGCAGGCAGATTGAGTTGCTCACAGAATCATTCAGTGATCTATCTATCTGCCATCGGCTAGCTCAGTCTCTCAAATTTGCTTGCCGTGAGTTTGCACTGAATTTGCTTGTAAGCAAACCTTCAGTCCTAAGGGATGTTCAGCTGTGCTTAGCTAGAAAGCAAGAAATCCAACCATTTCCTGCTTCCTAGCTAATCTAAATCTCCCAGCACAGCAGAACAGATGATGGTCGCAAAAAGGAAAAACAGCAACTTAGCAGACAAGTTTGCCGGGTAAGGAGTGAGTGGGCGGGGAGAGTTCCCGCAGGCCATGTAGGCTGAGCAGCCTTGTGTTTCTGCGCAGCCTGGATTAATTGCTTTGGGAGGGTGCTCTGGGGGTGAGATTTCTCTGCGGCCCACCAAAATTTTGTCACGGCCCACCAGTGGGCTGCGGCCCACCAGTTGGCGACCGCTGTCTAAAGCGTTCAATGGATAAATGAATAAAAATATTCCACAAGCTGGTGTCTCTACAGGATCCCAAAATCACTATTATGCTGCCCACAGATTTGAATACTCTTTTATTTGCTAACATAGATAACTCATAACTAGCAATCTAATGCAACAGTGCAAACATTAGTGTTTACCTACTAGATAATTGATGAGCCAGTGACAGCCAAAACTGAGAAAAGATACTCAATATCCAGTATTGTGTCTACTCTGTGAATAAGGCCTATAAACTATTTCCTCTCCTCCTTCTTGAATATGGACATATGATCTGGATGTGAAGCACATGTGATGTGAGTGTTCCTGAGAAAAAAACCCAATAAATGGACCAGAATTGAAACTGGAAATATTTGATGCTGGAGGTGGTTGTACTGTGACTAAGACGTTGGGATATGATCAGTCAAAAGTGAAACTTTCAGCAAAGCCTTTCTTGGGAAAGAAGCTGTTTGAAGAAATAATTAGATCCCATGAGAAGAAATCCTCACCTACAATCCCAAAGGGGAAAGAAAACAGATACAACAGAAATCCTGCATCTGTTTTTCTCTACTTAATAGTAAAATTCCTACCTTCTTGCTCTTCTCTCAAGATGGCCGTTGCTCGATAAGATTTTCTTTTTTCTCTTACCAATGATCTGCTGATTTCACTGCTAAAGCTGGTTCTTTACCAGTGCTGCTCTTTAGTTTTAAATGGGAGCACTTAGGAGTGACCTAAGATGACTTTTCGAGGATCACAGACCCAGTGGGGAAGGGTGGTGTTGAACATTCCAATTCCCTCTGAAAGCAATTGAAAAATCATTGGGCATATCCATCTTCCTGTCAAGCAGTTTCGTTTTCTCAGCATGCCAGAGTTTTAATATTCACTTTTTGACTTTACTGTTTTATTTTGCTTTTTGCTTTAAAAGTTGATCAGCAGTTGCACTTATTTTAACCTCTTGCTGGACTCTAATTGCTTTTTCTTTTTTTTTCCCTTTTGCTATATGTTGTTCTGGATAACCTCTGATCCATTTTATCAAAATCATGGCAATGTTTGAGGGGTGAGGGAGGTGAAGAGACATTAGACTTTTACCCCTGGATTCTGTATCTTTTGAATGTGCAAAACACCTGGAGTTTATTTCTATTGAATTTTTCTTATAATCTTGGATTGAAATATAGAGGTGTGTGTGTTTGTATGTGTGTGTATTCCCTGGTTAAGTTCAACAGATTAAAATGGCTAAACAGTGTCTGAAATCTAAGAAAGAAGTGTGGGGAAATATGCAGCTTCTAACTGGATTTCTCTTACAAAATCTTGATCAAAGTTTAATGATAGTTCAAAGAATGTTAAAATCTGAAGATTTATCATTGGATAAAGATACACAAAAGGACTTTGATCCAGAAGAGTGAATTTCATCTGTTGTTCTGAAGTTTAAGTAGGCATACTTCTTCAACATTACGGCTTTAGCTGGAAGGGAGGGAGACAAATTCCTCTACAAAGGAATTCCTTTCTTCTAGAAAAATGGAGGGAAACTGGATGGATTTATTACAGTTAACTGGTAACTACTTCTGCTTGCACTCTGAGTGGAAGATAGATTTATTCTGGAGACTGAATTTACTACATTTAATTAAACAACAATATTAAGAAACAAACATGGATTTTTGTCCATTTATAACTTTGCTGATGATTCAGGATAGTTAAGATCCCATAGTAAATTTTCTATGAGTGGATTACAATAACAGTTTGTTAACAGAGAGTTTTGAAGAATTAATTTTGTTCTATTTTACTATTATTGTTTTTCCTGCTAACTACTGTGTCATTAATATAACATATAGAAGATAGGTCAACAAGTTGCAAATAGATTTAGTAGTTTAAAATTTTTAGGAGAGCCTGTTTCACAAGTAGTAGGAACTAATGTTGTGCTGAATATTAATCAGTATTCAAACAGAGGGGATAATAGGTGTATAATGTGTTGTGGGTTTTTTATATATATGCATCTTTTTTAATGTTCCATTTTGTGTGGTTTCTTTCTGTTGTGTCTTCTTGGGTTTGGTTATTTTATTTTGTATTTTAACTTTGTTCTGAATAAAATAAAAATATATTTTAAAAAATTAAAATCCATTCCTTCTTTCAGTCTGCAATCAGATTTAAAACAACGCTTTAGAGAGGGCCCCTGTCTGAGGGTTCTATGCTCAACAACCAAAGCGCTCATCCGATAGACAATCTAAGGAGGCAAAAAGCAAGGTACATTCTGCTGAGCATGATGCTATAGTCTCCCAGGTGCCTGTGTAGTAGCAGAAATTTAAGTCCACCTGGAGAAACACCTGCCAGAAAGATGGGCTTGAGAGATGACTCAGAAG